GAAAGGAGCCAAGTGACAAAAGCACATGCCTTGAAGCACATGCATCGCTCTGCTCAGCTGTGGGGAAGCTCCCAGCCTCCACCTTCCCCCTCAGTTCAGTTATTGACCTTAGCCGAAAGACAGGAAGAACAAAACTGCTTAAGCAAATGAGTGAAGCGGCCTGAGAAAAAGTGACACTACCGCATTAGTTTCAGCTAACTGAGAAATGAAACTGGATACAACATGATGTCCACCAGCTTTTAGGCACCACTATGAAGACATTTAAAAAAAAAAAAAAAAAAACACCACCACCAAGAAACACATTTACTACTGGGTTTTTATATTAGAAAATTACTATGGACCTATCTGGTTCCTGCACAGAAAAAAATAGATTTGCACAGATAGATAGATAGATAGATATAAAATAAACCTTTCCTAAAACAGTTACACTGACAAAACCCCTTCATAAATTCCACAAGGTCGAGAGTATCTTTTGAATATGTTTGAATATGATTGACATGCTACCACAATTTAAATATGTACCTTATAGGTCTTCTGTTGTCTCTGTTGCCATCAAAATCCAAGTTGTCATTGAATACGTAAAAAGAGACTTTTCTGGGCAACAGACAGGCCTTAAAAGAAGAACCCCTCATCATACTTAGAAGGCAAGAGGATTCAAAGACCAGCACATCTTAATATTAATTCTGAGTCACTGCAATCCTGTCAGCAGACCCAAGTTTAACAAAGGCCCAGAGGATGTAAAACTCAAATCAAGAACAGTAACTCATTTCATGTCAAAGCCTAGTGAAAAAGATTTCCTTTGACAGATCCCATTTCATGCTTCCAATGAATTTACTGACTTCCTGCACAACTGTAAGAACAAGCCTGACTTTTGCCATACACCCACGAGTTGGCTGGATATCAAATAGCCATAAAATCCCATTAACTCCCATTGGCACATGGGTTTGGCTAAGGCTCTTCCTTCCTTTGTGTCAACAGGAAGAAGCTAGTAGGAGGAGTGCAGAGTAGCAAAACAAAACATAAAACAATAATCCACAAACCTCAACTACAAGTTGTTTGACTTGCACCTCTCTTATACTTATCATCTATAGTCACACCCACAGGCCAATGGAAAACATGGACAGTTGATGGAGGTCAAAAAAAGAAACCATACACTCATGAGAAGCAGCTGTCTGCTAACCAGTCTGAAATGAAAATCTGCACGACTTGTGAACAATCACACAGAATCAGCAGCTGACTCTTGATCTCATGAGAATTTACAAAATAAAGCATTAAAAAAGTTGGAGAATGTTGGGAATTTTAGTTTTTGTTTGTTTGTTTGTTTTTTACAACACCACTGCTTACAAGAATAAGCTAGATAAAACTACTGATTTTGACCTTAGCTAAGCGCTGAGAAAAACATTACAAGCGTTTGTATCCACTGAAGAGGTTACAATTTCAGATGCTTTTTTAATGTTCTTTTTTTAATATTCAGAACTTAAAAAGCCCTAATCTAAAACTGCTCTTGAAAATGAAACACTTGAAGTAACCATGCAAGACTTTATAGTTAGCTGCTGACAAAGCCCTAGGATTTGACATAGGTTGGTTGCTTGCAATCCAAGTTGCATTTGAAGGAAGTACTTGGACATGTATCTACCTGTAGGTATTTTAGACTTTTAAGAGCTGTAACATAGCGAACAGCAACTTTCTGCACAGAGCAGGTAGCTAGAGTCTTCACACAAACACAACAGTGGCCAAAGCACTGTTTGAAAGTGCTGCATTAAGACTCCTGCCTCCTTATCAGTGAGGGTTCAAATCCTCAGGACTAGACACATATGCAGGAAAAGTGGAATGTGGGGATTTTAAGAGTTATTATTTGTCCTTGGTTAACCAGTAGCGGGCAGTGGACGTTTTTGTAGTGTCGCAATTTTAAAATGCTCAAGATCCACAGAACAAACAACAGTGGGTGTGGGATTTGTTTGTTCTTTCTTTTTTAAACATACCCCAAATTAGCAATCTTAGTTACAGCATAGTTCCAAAACAGGATTAGGACTGACAGAAAGCTTCAAAACCAACATGAAATCAGCCCTTAAGATGAGAACTTCCCCCAACATCATCTGCCAAGCTTGTATGTATGTAGTCACGGTGAAGTTTTGTCATGGACTTTTGTTTAAATGCTGAGAAAGCATCTTTACTTAAACTTGTATCATCACCCAGATTCATTTCCTGTCCTATGGCAATCAGTTTATTTACCTCAGACATTCTCAGAAACGAATGCTGGATTGAGTTTGATACTATGGCCACTCTGTAATTTACCATTCCAGTCCAAGTGTTTTTTACTATTTGCACAAGTCTAAAGACTACTTAAGATCAAATCACTCAACAGATATTCATAAAGATTATCTAGAATTCCACATGAAATCTTAGTTTCCTTTAGTATCAACATCTGGAATTAGTCACAGCTCTTGTGGATCAAGACTAACTTGGCAATCCCTGGAACTCCGACTACCCTAAAGTTAGATGATTGGAAAATAATGAGGGGTTAAGTTTAAAAGAGGCCTTTAAAAAGGAATAAAACTACTTTCAAAATAATCTATCCAAGCACATGGTTAGAAGCATAAACCATTTCAGCTTGCTTACACAGACACACACACACGAGACAAAAAAGAAAAAACTACATGTTTTAGGGGGAAGATAAGTACTTCCACAATATTTATATAGACCAATTAGTTATTATAGACAGGGAAGCATCGAGGTTTTTGTATACTGAAGGTTTTGTTTGTTTGTTTTTAAGTTTAGTTTATTTAAGCACATATAAGTAATTTCAGGGGGAAAAAGAAATCCAAAGCAGATTGTCCAGGTATGAAGAACCCAAAAGGCACATCGATTTATTGCAATTAAGAATTAAAAGTTAATTCTTTCAAAACTGCCATACACACTTAGATCCCAAATCTCTCCTGTTACAGTCATTGCACAACAGGCAGGAAAAAGAATATATATTCCAAACACTGATTGTATTCAAAGTTTATTTTTAAATAAAACAAAAAAAAGAACAAGACAATGATTTTAAATAAATGTGGTGTATTTGACATATCTGTAGATCGTACAACCTTTTAAAAATCAGCCATTTTTAAACCTCTAGGAATTCTGTTGCAGCACCTGCTACAACATTTTGCAGTTTGATTTCCATTTCATAATCAACCGAACAGTACCAAAGTCGAGCTATTTGCTTATATGATGCTTCAGTTTCTTTGTCAAAGATGACTCTACCGATGCAAAAAGCACTCATTAACACAACACTTATTCTTACCTATGCTTGCAGTAAATGAAGTCTTTTCAGCCTTTTTTGGTTTTGTTTCACTGCCTGCGTAGAAATCAGCATAAAGCTAAGTTGCAAGCTAAGCTTCACTTCAGCAGCGCAATGAATGGCATCAAACTTCATGAAACAAATGAAATTACAAACACTGTCAGCAAAACTCAACTATGTAGAACCAATATTGAAAAGAAAGTGTTTTAGTGGGTCACAACCAGACTAGCTTTCAATGTGCAACTTGCCCCAGGACTTTCTTCCCGTTTCACATGAAAAGAATGCAGCATGCATCAAAAGCCTTTGTTCACATAGAAATCCCCATTAAAGTTCAATGATATCATAAGGCAAACAAATATTAAGCTGGAAGAAGTAATTTGGCCCAGAGTCTTACGACATGTACATACATACTTATGTGTAGCATATGACAGTTAAGGAATTGGCTCAGTAAGGTAGAAGTGTCCATGTTTATAAAGACATATCATTATTGCTAATATGCTACACATTATGCTTTGACATAGAAGTGCTGTCCAGCTTTTAAAGCTGCCATGTTGACAGTGTCAGCCTTGCAATTAGCAGCTCATGTTCATGGTGACAATATACTATTTCATTCTGAAGAAAAGGAAAGCAGCATAAATACTATTATGAAAACAAAAGGCTTATGCAACATCCCTCTCTCATTTGCTGTGTTTTTTTAAATTACAAAAAGTTCAAACGAAACAAGTCCAGTTCACCACAAGTTAAGAGGTCTCACAAAAAAGTTGGAAAGCAAGCTACAAGGAGCAGAGGGGGAAGAAAAACACGGCATGCATTATAATCTAGTCCTTTTAGTCATACCACTGGAATACGAAGATCCAATTTAAAGGCTAGACTAACAGTAGAAGGCAAAAAGCCAAGAGTAGACTTAGTTTGATATTTAAATTAAGACTGCAGTTTTAATCAGTAACAGCAAACTCATCTGGCCCTTTAATATATTCACAATATCTACTGCAATTGAATACTTATTAGTGACTAGTATAGGTATATACGTTTACTTAAAAAAGTTATTAAATACCTGCATCATGAAATTACATTCTTAAGACATTGTGTAAGAAAATAGCTCATGTGTGAAATGTTTCTGAAATGTATTTCTGCTCCCCTCCCACCCCCTACTGTGCCCCACACAAACACTCACACACACCCCCTATCAAAGCACTCATTCACAGGAAAAAAAAAAAACACCCCTTAAAAAAAAGGATGGGAATAATGAAGGGGACCAGCTAATCTAATTACAGCACAGTGCTTAACAAGGTTCAGACAGAACCAGTTTGGAGTTGGCCAAAAGTTGCCTTCAGCAACACATGCCTAACCAATAATCCCTTCCAATTCTTCCTATCAAACTCAGTCCACTTTTGGTTCATTGCAATGCCACAAAAATATTTCATATATACATATAAACACAACTCCAGCTTTAGTTCAGCTTTCGTTTTTGCAAAGTCTATTTACCTTTCCATTCATTTTATTCTGCAGCAAATGCAAGAGGTAGGCATAAAGCATTCAAAAGCTTCTTTCTCAAAGTCCTGCCAGGAGCTCAATCTTGTGGGACATTAACAGAAATCTGTTTGTTTGTTTGTTTTAATCTGTGGTTTTACAAGGTGCTGCCTTGTGCAATCCAGACAGGCAATAGCTATTTGACCCCTGGATCTCCTAGACTAGCACACCACGAAGCAAGAAGCTGTCCCTATCCAGAAAGATACTGTTATTAGTTTGCTGCAGAGCATCCATAGAGAAAATGGATGCTAGGACCAGTTCTCTCAATTTCCTTTTGTACATAGGAGCAAGGTACCATTTGGCCAAGACTACAGATGTATTTTTCACAGATGCAAGTGCCATGCAAAAATAAATTAAAGAACAGATACCAAAACATACAGGTAATAAAACTACTGAAGGTAGATCTTCTTAAAAGCATTTCTATAAACAATTTATAATACTTTTCCTTCCCATCCCCCTTCTCTTTTCGGCATTCACAGTTACAAAGCTGTGGCTATACATCGAGGATTTCTTCTGCAGTGCCTCCACAACGTAACCTGTAGCGGCCGGTCCTCCAGCTAATAGTGGGGTCCCACAAAGCGGATAAGAAGATATAGATCGTCATGGATTCTCGGATGAACCAAGCTACTGCATAATCAAGTTTTGAAAAACATAAAGCACCACCCTGGGAATATAAAAGACAAACCTTTTAACACTGTAATTTAAAGATTTATAGTATGCACAAGTCTTTCCTAGAGTTTATCATACAGCTTTTGCATTGTCTTTTTTATATTTTTCTGTTTAAGCCAAGATCTCACATATTAGAAGAAAAACAGTATACCAGACTGACCTGGAAGGTTTGAAACCTCATTGGTACATTGAGGCTATCTAGAAGAAATGTAATGATAAGATTTCACCCCCCTTTTTTTTTGTTGTTTTGCTTTGTTTTTGAAAGCTTGGAAAACAAACAAAACATCCAAAACTCTGCCTTCAGGCAGACTAGACTTCTGTCACAGACCTTGAAGTATCAGCATCTAGACAGGAGACTGGACTATCGAACATTCCTAGAGGAATAAAATCTATGTAAACAAA